CAAATTGGATCACCGAAAGGCCATGAAGAAACTCGCGGCAACAGGACACATGCTTAATTGGAAATACATTCCGAGACCGTAAAGTTAGTTAAAAAAAAAAAAAAAAAGAATAAGGAGGAAAACCAGCAATTTATTTTACCAGCAGAAATCAGATGCCATTAAGTCAACAGGTTGACGGGAAATCTATGGAGTCTAGGGTGCACTATCAAGATATCAATAAGTATTTCATACCACATTCAATGAGGGGGTTCAGAGGTAATTAGATAATGAAATCAAAACATTAAACTTGAGCCTTACAGAGCAGGGGTGATTGCAAGGGAACACATATAGGGTGGAGGTTGAGTGGCCTGGATTCTAGGCACGTGAAAGATGCACCAAACTTTAAGAAAACTGAGAAACAATATACGAATTGATAGTCTGTGCCAGTGCTGATGCAACACTGTAATGGTACACGAGAAATAGCCAATTGGAACTCAGCAACCACATGCCATAGCTACAGTTTTGGTTCCTTTATAGAACAACGTTAACAACCAATCAAAAGCCAAGAAACACGTGCTATGGTTTGGGTTCCGCCTCGAACGACACTAACACTGTTTATTAAGTATAAAAGCCATGATTCAGAGACAGCAAAAGAGAGCTCTTCCGTTTTTCAGCGAATACCCCCAAGTCTTCAGATGTCAGCCTTTGCGTCTGTAGAGAACATTCACCACTTAAACTCAATGCAAGTTTAAATGCCTTCTCTGCTTCATCTAGTAAAAGTGAAGCTACTTAATGATTTGTTGAATATTATATACATGTTAAGTATATTAGAGAAACTATCAATAGGAGACCCAAATGTTGGAGAGAGAAATGGTGATGCGTGTTTTCTGAATTGTTTAAATTAAATATGTTTTTCTTATCTAGTCTCCCAGCAGTTTCTTTGAGATGGTGACTTTTGAGCATTACCCATGACTGCATCCAATATCCTGTTCATAAATAAATTTGCAACAAGTGTAGGTTGAACTCAACTACTAAAGCCACCTGTTACAGTTCCTTATAATTTTTCGAGGATGTTTGCAATGTTCAGTTAAGTATGTCACAAGCCTGAACCCTTAAGAGTAAACATTTATCAAATAATAGTTTCTTGGACTTCTTGGTTGAACATTACAATATGATTAAGATAAAAAAAGGTCCATTTCATTATGCATGTTTGTATATGTTAGATTGATAATAATTATCAGAGGTATGGCAGATATTGATATGATCTTGTTGTAATTGTACTGCTACTTTAATTTTGTGGAAGCTTCATTTATAGGACAGCTACTTTGGGAACTTGTTTTTAATACAGCATAAATCTAGAAACACTCATGATAACGGATGGAATTTTCTACTTTTATAACAAAATATGGTAATCTACTATACTATAATAAACACCATAAATTTTCATGTTACCAAAATAAACATTTTATGAGATAATGTTGCAAAGTTTCATTAATTTTTAAGAAATATAGGGTATTATGGCCCACATCATAGAGGAGGAACAAAAATAAATGGTTGAGATTAAATTTATATTTTAAATGTTAATGGTTACAAAATTATTCAAGATCTGCTAGAAATTCTACAATAATGATTACAACTAATAATAAATTTTTAATTATGGGTAACACAAACTTCAAAAAGTTCTATGTTTGTTTTGAATTTCGTGCAAAGCTACACGAAGGTACCTGCGCTAGCCGTCCCCAACTTAGCAGTGTATGTCTAGAGGAAAGGCAGCTAGTCATCATCACCCACCGCCAACTATTGGGCTACTCTTTTACCAACGAATACTGTTATTGACCATAACATTATATTATAACGCTTCCACGGCTGAAAGGGCTAGCATGTTTGGTGGGATGGGGATTCGAACCCGCAGATTGCTAGTCAAGCTCCCTAACCACCTGGCCAGAGTTCTGTGACCACTCTGCCCTAGATCATCAGTTGGGTACCTTCGCTGCTGGCGGTAATTTCAGCTTTAGAATGCGTTAACATTTAATAAGAACTTAATTGAAGATAATATATTCTTACACAAAGATTAAGAAGACAACATTTTGACAAAAAGGCATTCATCAGGCTTTGGTGGTGGTGGTTGTTTGATTGCTATATGGATCATATATTTCTCATAAGTACAGTAGTTTTAACCATTTCTTCGTATTTTCGTTACTCTATAATTGCAATTGTTTGTGGCGTTACCATTTGCACAGCAGAATATATATATATATATATATATATATATATATTGC